TTTTTTTTTTTTGGATATTTTTTGTTATGTTTTTAGTTTCTATTCCCAAGACCATGTCAAGAGGCCCTAAGAATTCCTATGGAAATGTCTTTGGATATTGAAATGGCCACATTAGTCAATTGTTACAGATGGAATTTTGTTTAACGTTGCTCCAACATTAAAGTAGTCCCTTATTGATGGATTCACATATTGAGGGGATTTGCATCATCAAATTTCATCCCAATAGATATATTTATTGGTATGAAGCTTGATTAGTCGTCAAATCATTTATTTATATTTATGAGATTGATTGTTTTGACAGTTTTTTCCTAATCGCTAGATTTTATTCCTTCCAAATTTTTGTATCTTTTTGTGTCAATCAAGGTTATCTCTGACTTCAAATGGATGTTAGCAATGTTTTCCTTTAATGTGACCTAACTAAAGTTGTTATATGAAGCATCCTTTAGTTTGTGTTGTTCATGGCATAACTAGAGTTTGTAAGCTTAGGAAGGTCATTTATCAGCTTAAGAAAAGCCCTCGTGCATGATTTGATATGTTTTGTGAAGTTTTTGTTTAGGTTAGCCTTCATGGTAATACTGTAGATCACTCCATTTTTTGTTAGACATATCTCAAGTTGTGTTAGCTTGGTAGTCTATGTTGATGATATTCTTATAGAAAGTGATCAAGAAATGGTAACTGAGGTCAAAGACTGTCTTTAAAAATGTTTTCCGACCGTTGATTTGGGTTGTGGAAAATACTTATAGAATTGAGTTTTCCTACAATAAAATAGATGTTTCACTATCTCTATATAAAATTGACACTGATATATTAGAGGAAACTGGTTTTTTAGCTTGTAAACTTGCAAACATTAGTTTTGACACTAAAAAAATTATTATTGAAGAATTGCTTGAGAATGATTGTCATTATTATAGCTTAGTTGGTAAATTGATCTACCATATTGCTACCAGACTGGATATACCATTTGCTATAAGAGTTGTAAGTCAGCACATCCTAGCTTCCAATTAAAGACTTAGGGAAGTTGTTATTTGTATCCTCAAATATGGCTGTAAGTATCTAGGGAGAGGACTCTTTACACTACAAATGCACTATCTACATTGCCCGTGGAATTATATTTTAAGGAAGAGTCAAATATATTGAGGCTGAATAATTGAGATATTGTGCTATAAGAAATATTATTATTTTTCATGTTTCCAAAGCAGCTCGTAGATATTTGCCAAAGCTTTGAACCCACTTCAATGCTTAAAGCTTTGTAACATGCTAGAGTTTTTTATTTTTTATTTTTTATTTTATTTATTTATTTATTTATGCTAGAGTTAATTGATATATACGCTCTAATTTGATGGGGGAGTGTTAGTGTTATCACTTGTATTAGGAAATTGTTCTTATTTTGGCTAATGGTTCTTTTTTTTTTTGGTGTTCCATATTGTATTCTTTCTCATATTATAGTAGCTCCTCCTGAAATTAAAAAGAAAAAAAATAAAGGTTTCCCTCTCAACTGTACTCATGCTATTTAACTCAGTCGATTCTAGCAAATTTCAAAATATGCCTTAAAGTGTTAATTAATAGAACAATGTTCCCTGATGACAGCTAAATATTTGCTTCGGTCCAGGCAATGGTGCTTTTTCATATATTATTCCCTTACACCTCAACAATTCATCTTAACTTGCATTTCAAACTTCAATTACTGGTTTTAACTTGCACAATTTATTTTTTTCCACATGCATGTCCATATGTAGGCTCCTTTCCTAGATGCAGTGAACACCCTTCTCCATCCTATTTTGCCTCTTAACGCAGTTGATTATGAAGAGTTTGGATATCCTTTGGACCTTGAAGATTTTCTTGCTATTAGAAAATATTCTCCTTATGAAAATATTAAGAAGGATTCCCTTTATCCATCTGTGCTGGTGACTTCATCTTTTAATACAAGGTATATTAATTTCTCTTTATAAATAGATTATCTCGTTATTTCTTTTGTATGTTTTTCTTAGAGACAGCTTTTTCATCGGAAATTTGTTGATCATACATTTTAATTTAATTTCCTCAACTTTAATGGTGGTCACTGGTGCACATTTTGAGATGTCGATCATCACCATAATAGATTACACAGTTCACTATTCCATGACACTTGAATGAAATTTCAATTGTATGATATCTTAATTGAATTTTTCTGCTTGTTTACAAAAAAGTGGAAAGCTAGTAAAATAAAATTGAGAAGCTTTTTGGTAAAGGTTGTTCTAAGAGATAGGGTTTTTGATGTAAATATATCACACAATGCATGTTTAGATCCAATCAATTGATGAATGAACAGCAACTTACAATATAAAGCAAGCTATTAATATCAAAACAACTATTTATTAAATAAAAATTATTAATGTTGTATTTCCATTAAAGTGAGATTTTTAATTTCTTACACAAATTAGCAACGAGAAATTAAAGATCACAACAGTCATGAAAATGATTGAAATTTAGTTCATATAAGGGACAAGATTAAAGTAAAGTTAAAAAAGAATAATTCCTTTTGGATATGTAACAAATTTATATTATTACATTATAAGGTGATCACCACTGAGCGTAAAATAAATTTATGAATTTTTGGGGGTAGGAAATGCTAGGATATAGGATTCCTAATGCATATTTATTAAGCAATGCAGATTTATCAACCGATAAAAAGTACACAACTCACACAAAAATCAAAGTATTAATTTCAAAACAATTATCTAATTGTCAGCATCTTGTTTGAAATCAAAGACTGTCCTGCAAGTGATTGAAATTTCATGCATATAAAAGAAAATAGATTGTAGCATATTGAAAGAAAAGAATGAGTTTCTATGAATACATTCTCACAATCTTCGAATCTCCTTTTGAGTTTTATCAATATTAAGTCAACGGAACGGATATATGAGAATAGTTCAACTTTTGGAAGACCTTGCGTTAATGTCTCAAATTTTTTGAAATATTTTAAGTATTACAATTGATCAAATATTAGAATGGAAAAGAAAAAGAAGATTTGCACATAAAAAATAGTCTTTATTATATTCTCCTTTATGTCTAAGTCTTAAAGAATACCTATTTATAATCCTCATGCAACATCAAATATGAAAGGAATATAACCGTCAAGGAAGAAACCATAGAACATATTGCTAAAATCTTAAGAAGCCTGTAAAATATGAACAACTACACGGAGAAGCCCACAATGATAATTCACAGAATATCTCATATGGACATCGATATGGATGTTACCTATAAATAGGGAAATAGAAGCCATGGAATAGGACTTCCTTAGCAATAGGAATTGAAGTCATTTCATCAATTCTAATGAAATTTGAAAATTCAACTAGGATGATTTGTTTAGTTGATATGCTTCAAATATATCTAGGCAAAAATGTTAGATCTCCTATAAAGATATTTAAGAATTATGATATGTGAGTTTGCTTTTCCATGACATAAATACCTTGGTATCTGCTGTATGTAATGTGCATGATCTCCTTTACATTAGTAGCTTTATGAAATAGATTGGTATGCAGCTGAAAAATATACAAATGTTGTATTGGAGGTTAAAACAGCTGGCTTACCCAATCCATGGAGCTCCCACCAATGCAAGGCCGAGGGAGGGATTGATGTAGAAAACTTTTTTCCTACATTCGTAGAAACGTTTCCTTAATTGGAGATGGAACTATAATAATTGGAAAAAAAGATATGATACATATAAGGAACATGCTAAAATACTTATATATTTTCAAATTACTAATTCTTAGAGGAGATATTGAATAAAAGGTAAATCGATATTAATTTTGTTATGTAAAGTTCTCTTGATAACTAGCAAATCACACAAATATATTTTTTTTAAATAATTAATTCTTACCATACGGAAAATAACCTCTCTGAAGAAAAGCAATCCAAATGGTATAAAGATTAATGTTGATGAAGTAATTATCTTTAAATTCAGCCAGATTGATAGAATAATTTTTGAAGTTTGCTTGAGGCAATTGTTATTAGTAAAATCCTGTTGTACAATTTTATTTTTTTCATTAGGTTCCTTTTACGAAAATGTAAGTAAAAAAATCAATAACCAAAAATAAAATCGCTATAAGATTAATTCAAAGGTGTACATATAATTTTAGCAAATAATTCATTATCTAATTATTTGATTAATTTATTAACTTCAACGTGTTTCATTTGTTTAGTTTTAAAATTAGGGCAAACTCTAATTGAGATTTAGATTCATAAACAATCTCATGTTCAAATTTTGATTATTTCTCAATGTTATTAAAATCAATGTAGAATCATTTTGTAAGTGTAAATAGTTTTTTGCATGTAATTTATCATTTAAAGAATATTAATAACTACATTTTTTTCAATATAAATAGATTTAGGGAGAATAAGTAAGAAGCTTAGTTTAAGATCTTTTGATGGGTAGATGGAGCCATACTAGTCAAGGAGGCAATATATTTTCATAAATTGATTGATTTAGTGATCACTCTACTTGTTTTATTGGACCAATTCGAATTTTCATGTGTTTAAAATATTTATTTTTTATTTTATTTCTCATATTTTTATTCCATTTGTATTAGGACAAATAATCAATTTATGCAAGTGTTTTTTTGGCTCCAAAGACTTTCTAAAGTTGTCTAGGCTTGCAATAGGACTTTGTTTTATACTTTTTGATTCATTTAATAAAAAATATTTTTGTTTGTGAAATTTTTATATTAAAAGGCTTAGTGGCCTTTTTGGTAAAACTGTGTTTAATTCTCAGATCTTTGTTGAGTCATTAGTTATATTTTCTCTCGATACAAATTTCATTTCCTTTGTAAAACCCACATTTGATTATATATGTGTCACATTTGACATAATTTGAAATACAGCAAATTCTCAACTTTCACAAAATTTAACAAATTGTATGTCATTGAGTTTTACTCGTTAAATGGAACATTTTGATATATAGCATCATGTCTAAATGTGAAGGATTTGAGAGTTAGAGAAGTAAATTTAAATTGCATTTTTTTCCTTAGTTATGAAATTGTTTTATTATTTAAAAATTAAAATCACTGTAGCAAGGGCAAAATTTTTTAACAGGTGGCTTGCATGCAAAGATTTGGGATGGGGTAGTTAAGGCAATTCATTATCTTTAGAGTATTTTATTGCCACTTCATTAAAAACCAGCGTGGGATGAAGAGCAGTCTTGGTTCAGCTGGAAGTCGCACGAGGAGCTGGAATGGGGACTTGCCGAAGTAGGTGGGATCTCTTGGTAGGCGTAGGAGCGGTTGGAGCAAGTGTTGAAGGTAAATGCCTTGTGAGTTCTCAGGTTAGTGCAGATTTTTGTGCTAGGTTATTGACTGTTGGAGCTGGTTGGTGTCAGGGCTGGAGCTAGTTGTTGGGTGGGCTAGCTGTTTGCATATGCGTGTGCTGGCTGAGGGTTTGTTGGAGAGGAGTGGATTAGAGACTGACCAAGGGCTGCTAGAGAACTGTTTGAGGGCTATGCACCATAGGGGCAAGCTTAGGAAGAGCATTAGGAAGCTTGGGTAGAAGCTGGCAGACTGGGAGAAGAGCGAGGAGAAAGAAGGAAGAAAATCAGTGAAGGAGGAGAGAAAGAAACAGGAGGTAAGGATTTTGTTTTCATGCCTTTAGGAAAAGAAAGTTATAGTGTTGTATATTTAACATTTCTAATTTTGGAAGTGTTTTGTTCTTGATTATGATATTCATAATTCGGAAAGAGTGAATGGCTATAGTGGTGTATGCGACCTGAAAATTGGAAGGTATGATTGAGAACCAATTTACTTGTATGAGTTGAATGGTAATTGGTGTGAATTGTCAATTAATGATTTGGTTTGATTGGTGTCTTACACGCAGAAAGGCATGAGGGGTTTGACTGTGTCGGTCTTTGACTCAAGATGGTAAGATATTGTTTTTATTATATAGCAAATTAGTTTACGTGTGACATTTACTCTTGAACTTTTATGTGATCGTGATTATTAGCCTAAATTATGGTTTATACATATATCGTACATGTCATTCTTTGTGATATGTGAGTATGTATATACACTATCACATGCAATCCTGTTAAAATATGATACAGCTATGCTTGCTTATATATTGATATAAATTTCAATTGTATTTATCTATATGCATTTATACATGTAGACATACATATAAGTAACACATATCAGGTGGTTGTAAGAAGAGAAGAAATAGACATGATTAAATAAGTTAAAATAATGTCATATTAGAAGATAGGTAGGTGAGGCAATGCGACCAAGCAGAGGCTATGAGACCTACAGTTAGTAGAGACTAAGGGCTATGGAGATAGTGCAACCTCGGGAGCCTATGGACTAAAAACCTAAACCTAGATATCCAGACATGACATTTTTTGGGGTTGAAAAAGGAAGTTATGAAATGAACGGAGATCGATAACTATAATTAAATGTTTTGATAGTATGAATCACAGATGACATACAACTACAATTGACTTAAAGTGATACTATTAATGTTATACAACAGGTAATTGAATGTGTAATTCAAGCAAGCATCATTCTTACGTATTACATGGTAGGCATCATACCCTGTATATTATTCTATAGTATTTTTACTGTAAACTTTGATAGCTTATACATGCTTTTTACATGTATAGGTTGATTTATCTACTGATGCTCATATTCATTAGTGATTATTACACTTGATTACTGCATTAGAGTTGCATATCTTTGTAGGTGTTATAGCTCACTAGATTATTATTCTAACTGTTATTACAGAAAAAAGGAAGAATAAAGTTGATTCAGAATAGAACATGTTCAGTTTTTATTTTATGTTTACGTTTGTCAATGTAAGAAGAGTCTGATATGAGGTTTAGAATTTGTTCATAGCTACATGTTTTGGGGTAGTTGCTCTGTAGATGAAAATTTTGGAAATAAAAAATTTTGTACAGCTTCTGTTTTTGAATGATGATTTGAACAATGATATTATTTGTGCTTCATTCAAATGTCATGATTTTTTTATTAAATTGAATGTTAAAATAATGCATTTTAGGGTGTGACATCCTATACATAACCTTGAGCCTAGCTTAAAAAAAAAAAAAAAAAACTTGAGCATAGCTTTGCTCAACCCCAAAATCCATCTAATCTCTTCAAAATTCTCCCAAATATTCCCACATATTCCTCATAACATTCAATGGTTCCAACTCCCTAATAATATTAAGATATCATAGCCAAAATCCTAATATAGAGAAATAATTTTCTAATGTGAGCAACCATATTAAAAATATCACAACTCCTTAATCCTTGATCCAAAATCTATAAAAAAACATTACCATTAGTTCTCTAATATCCAAAACCTTTAATCTTGAGTTTCTCTCTATTTTATTCTCCATGGAAAATTTATCTTTTGATAGCTTAAAAGTTTCAGTACTAAATTTATCAAAAATCTATATTCTTATTTTTCCATCACTCAAATAATCCTTCCATTACCACCCAAAGAAGACATCAATCAAGTTGTTGTTTTCACTATTAAAGTCCTATAGACCCTACATTTGTTTTTAATAGGAAGATCATTATATTATTGCTTGATACTATATTGATATGAACCCAAATAAAAATATATCAAAAAATAAGAAAAATCACTATATTAAAATACAATTAGGCGCTAAAGTTCCATTTTATTTGATGCCTTAATAATCAACATAAGGAGCGTTTATAAATCCTAAGTACTCCTATTATCTAATAAAGTATCTAATCACCACCTTTATATTTATTCCTAACATTACTCATCCCTTCACAATGACCTTATCCTTAAGGTCAAGCAAATTATTGTGAGATTGAATTGAGCGGTTCTTTTTGGTGCCTTTGAATCCTAGCGATTGATGGATGAGAAAATCTAGATGGAGAGACATGACATTTGGTGAACTCGAGTTTGGATCTAGGTGGAGATGTTGAGGCAAGGCTTGTAAGGCGAAAGTGGTGAATGAAGAAGTAGCGATGGTGATCTTGGATTTGAATGGTGGAGGAAGTGGACAACTAGGGTTGGTGTTGGATTTGATGAGTGGAGATCTGATATAATGTAGTGGATTGGCACTAGGGCTAGGATGGGATATGATTTAGTGGATTGGCACTAGGGCTAGGATGGCGAGGATGGTCGAAACGGGTTCACTATGGAAGTGGTGAACGTTGGAGAACCAAACAAGATTAGGTCAAAAGTAGTGGCATCCGTGACTATGATAGTGGAATCACCTATTATCACCCAAACGGTGGATTCGACAGTGGCGAGGTACCATTTATACGAACCCAAGTAGAAAATTATCGAAAAACAGATAATAACATATACTAAAAGATAACTAGGCAATTTGTAGGCTTACCTAAAACTCCAAGCAGAGAGGAGAAGGGATTTGGGAATTATAACTATTATAGGATTCCAGTTAGTTTCTTCTTACATTCTAGTTGATTCCCTAATACTTTACATTAGCAGTATTTATAGATCCTAAGGACTCCTATTACCCAATAAGACACCTAATTACTACCAATTACCCAATGGATCAGTTAATATATGTAGTATTTACAGATCTAAAGGAACTTTGTGTATGCCAGTACCGAGAAATGGTCTCTTATTTGGCATCTACCATTATGGTATTACCTGATTTGGTCCCTTCCCATGTGGCCTCTCATTAGGTGCAAGTTCGTTGACTAAGCTTTTTGCTAGAAGGCCCATCTCCATATGTTTTTCTTTGTACTCTATAATGTTTTCATTTTTCTTGATGATTGATGCTCATCAGGGTTCATTTGGGACAGCTTTCTTAATGCTTTCTAAAACAGTATTTTAGTTAAAAAAATTTTTTGAATTAAAAATTTTTGTACTAAAAAATAATTTTAGAAAGCAATGAAAAAGCTGTCCCAAACGAAGCCTAAATATTGAGGCCTTCCTTTTATATTCGGTCATCTAAGTTCACTGTTACTTATCTCATCTGCTTTTTGTATTGCAGATTTGGTGTGTGGGAAGCAGCCAAATGGGTTGCAAGAGTTCGTGAGCTGACAAGATATGATCCATTACATCCAGTGGTACTCAATCTTTCGGCCGATCTTGTTGAGGACAGCAAATACTTGCAGATCAAAGAATTAGCAATGGAAACTGCCTTTCTCATCAGAATGGTAGCAGACACAAATTGATTCATATAACCCAGCTGCACTAACACTTTGGAGAAGTGTGAGGGAGTCTAAGTTGACTCGTGACCTGGCTCGGGCTCAACTCAGTAATGGCTCGTGTGCTGAGCTTCGATGAGCTAATGAATCATGTTTGAGCCAGCCTTGACTCGACTCGTTAGCTCGTGATCCGGTTCGTTTAAAAACATGTTAGTATAAAATGCACTTAAAATATATTAGCATTTGTGATTTTAAGTATAATTTTGTGAAAATTGTATGAAACTATATTTCGCTTCTTTATGTTAAGTGATGTTTCATTATTTTTATTAGAATTTATTGTTCGTTTTATCATTTTATTATAATAATTACTTAAATCATAATCATTTTCTTACTTTCATAATATATGAGCATGCTCGTCAGCTGGCTCGAACTTGTAGAATAAAACTTGAGCTCAAGCTTAAACTCGAATAATTAATCAAGCTCAAGGTTTGGAGTGACTCGAGCTCAACTTTGACTCGTTTATAGCTCTACTTTGAATGCTTCTCTCTCTCTAGAGCTAGGAGTCTTATTTATGCACGATATTTTAAAATATTTTACCGATGATCTGCTTTTCTTTTCCCTTTTATTATAGTGGGAGCCAGTTGTTATGGCTTCAGATGCGAGATTAGAGTGGAACTTTGTTCTCTCAGCAGATCAAAAGAGTCAAAAAAAGAGAGATTACGTTGGGAGTTTGTTCTCCAATGAGATCTAAAGGATTTATAGTGACGTTGGAATGGAAGCTTGTTCTCCTTCTATTTTTATTATTTTAGTGTGTGAAGAACCTTATTTCTTCAACAACAGAAGGAAGATGAGGGATTTTTTTTTTTATGAGAATTCTAGATGTTGATATTTTGGATATAGAAGGTAGTATTATTCAAATTTGACAACAATAATATTAAGTATTTATCCCACTCCGTCAGGTTGGTTACACAGTTTTTTTTTTCTTTCTAGTGTCTTATTAAGGTTTTGTTTGGGATAATTTTCTTATTATTTTTTAAAGCAATTTTTAAATACAAATAGTTTTTGAACCTAATTTTTTTGTACTAAAAAACAATTTTAGAAAGTAGTAAAAAAGTTGTCTCAAATGAGGCCTAAGAGTCAATTATATATATATATATAAAAGGTAAATTTTAATACTTAATTATTAAGTCTTTTTAGATCTACCTCTTCATTTTTTAAAATAGGTTGAATTTAATACATTTACTCTTTTAATCGGGTTATCGAAAGGCCAACATTTTCTGTGACCAAATCACTTATCTGCCATTGAATCTACTCCAACTTTTTCACATATGTTATCATTAGAATTTAAAGAAAAAGAAAATAAAATTGTAAAATATTTAGTGAGAAATATTGTAATCAATGTAGGTTTGATGGATGAATTGAGAAACTAAGCAATGGCTACCTGTTTTGGGTTTAGGGTTTAGGGCTATAAGCTATTAGTTAATTTGAATATGTAACTATTAGAACTAGACAGGTAAGCTTCCATTTAAAAGATTTGTTAGCAAAAGAAGTTTCCAATTTTAGTTCTATAGCTTATTATTGAAATAAAAAAGTTTTTTTTTTCTTTTACTGAAACTTCATTAACCTTTTGATTTAGATTTTTGGGTTGAAAAAATGCACTAAGATTTAGGCTAAACTGAGGTAAAAGATTTTGGCTTTATTTGGAATAGTTATCTTGCTGCTTTTTGAAGCAATATTTAAATACAAAAATTTCTAATTAATTATTATTTTTGACTAAAAAGTAGCTTCAAAAGCATAAAAAAAAAATAGCTGCCCAAACAAAAACTTTGATAGCTTGGTTCTTAAAAGGATTCAAACAAATCATTTACTTCCAATTCAGGGGTTATGTGATCTTGTTGAGTATAAATTAATGCTTATTTTATTATTTAATTTGATGATAATTTACTTTATGTGATATTATTTAATGATTTGTTACATGTTCATTTACAACAAGTTCATCATTTAGTGGCAACCATAGAGATGACCTTGATGTTTACTAAGCATACTTGGATAATTTTTCATTAGAAGCTAAAGATTAAGATGTTTATTACATAAAGAATTCAAGTGAATGATTTCAACAAGTTAAGATTCTAAGGGTATAAGCCTTAGACGGAATATTTTCTTATTGCTTTTTAAAGCAATTTTTTAGTATTAAAAATTTTTGAAAAGCTGCAAAAAAAAAAAAAAAAAAAGCCAAAAGCTATTCCAAACAAAGTCTTAGTGTATGTAGGTTGTTGATTTTTATTATATTAGATTGAGGTAGATTATCACCATGCCAAAGGATGATGAGCACATTAATAAAATTGGCTAAATAACTTAAAATTATATTTAAGATTTTACCAAAAAAATTATAGTTTTAGGAATTTATTTGAATTAAATTTCTATCCATTTCATCAAATTTTTATTTATCAATATATGAGAATTATTTTAAATATTATTTTATTTAATGATCAAGCACTTATTTGGCTAATCATTATAATGATGATTATAGATAGATATAGCAAGTTCACTTATTTTTACATGTTTCATTGCATATACTACATTTGTTTCATTATACTTTTCACCTTATTGAGATTAATTTTAATAATACTAATTTTCATAATACTAATTTTCCTTAATTAAGTGATTCACATGTTGCCAAATTTACATGATTTCACATGATTCATATGTAGCATTAAATTTATCATAATAAATTAGGTTTAATCATCTTAATTAAAAATTGTAAGCTTTATATTCTATTTATTTTTTATGAAGAAAATTCTAAGTGTTCATGAAGCTTCAAATTCTAGTTGAACCTCTATTTTTTAGAAGAATTTGAATGCAAGTGAAAAAAGAGGAAAACCTTTGCTTAAAGATACGTGGAGATCCTTCACTCAAGGCCTTCGACATGTTCGTTGACGGTTTCCATTAGATGCACAAGATGCCCTCCACGTCCTCTTCGATAGTATGATCAATCTCCTTCTCGTTGATGATGTAAACGGATATCTTGACAAGAAAGAAACTTCTCTTGCCTTGTGGTAGGGGAAAGAGAACCAATGCCTGAAATCTGAAATCAGTTTCAGATTCTCATGAGTAGACTATGAGAACTTAGTGGAGAGATCCAAGACTAGCCCTGAGAAAATTCGGCCAGCATCCAGTAAGGAGTTCCCAGATTTTCTCACAGGAAAATCAGCACTAGGAGAGAATTTCTGAGAGAAATTCCAATGGGGAGGCTGACGGTTACGTGAGAGAAGGTGTCCAGGGAATTAATTCCTAGTTTAGAATGCCATTTTAGGAAAATAATGAAGTGGGCTTGAGTAGATTCGGCCCAGGCAGAAAATTATGGAGATCTGAAATTACCTCCAAAAGCTAGGGAATTGTTTAGGAAATAATTAAAACAAAGCAGCAGGACGATTCGGCCATGAGGAGGTTTTCAAATTGTTTCCCAAAAGGTGGGATGTAGTTTAGGAAAAAATTCTCTGGAATTGTTTACTGGGCCGGCAGTTAGAGAAGCCAAAGAGGAATTTGTGGAGAAGATTTTGGGAGATTAAAAGGCTAGGAGAAAAGGAAATTTCTTAATTAAATTCAATTTGAATTTAAAATTCAAATTGATGGAATTAAGGAACTTTCCTAAAGTAGATTTATTAAATTAGGAAATATTTTAAAATTCTCAAAGATTAATTTTGAATTTCAAATCTACCCACATTCAACTCAATCGAAAATAGGAAACAAGCTTGAATGGGAGAAGTGGAGAGTGGATCGGCGGTTAGGGAGATGGAGGTCGGCGGCATGAGGATTTGAGCATAGGTTTGGCCGTGAAATTGAGGGGGATTGGTGGAGAGGGAATTCGGGTGCTAGGGATACCGGCGGCTAGGTGACGAGGGAGAAGATATGGGAGAAATAACGGAACGAGAAGAAAACGTGATAAACGAAAGAAACCACGAACCCGACTTATCTAGGTTGGTGGGTATTGCGCCAAACTTCTTCCTCTCCTAGGAAGTTTTCTCCATTAGAACTCTCTAGATCTCAATGCTCATGCAAGAAGTAATTTTCATAATCAATCATTCATCCCCTTGAAAATAAAACAAAGGGGCTTTAAATAGCCTCATACAAAAGACTCTAACTGACATGACACAATTGCCCTTAGGCTTACACATGACCACTCCCATACAAAAGGGTACAAAGGGAAAATAAATAAACGCACATAAGCAAATAATCAAATGCAAGAAAATAAAATACATCGACTCAAAAATATAACGAATCGATCGTGGTCGTAGATCGGCGGCCACGTCGCTGGTAAACTTTCCATGATTATCTGATGTCCCCATCACGGCAAGGCTCAAGGAGAGCACCATTTATATTAACCCAAGTAGAAATTTATTGAAAAACAGAGAATAACATTATACTAGAAGATAACTCGGCAATTTGTAGGCTTACCTAAAACTCCAAGCAGAGAGGAGAAGGGATTTGGGAATTATAACTATTATAGGATGCTAGTAATTCCAGTTAGCTTCTTCTTACATTCTAGTTGATTCCCTAATACTTTACATTAGCAATATTTATAGATCCTAAGGACTCCTATTACCCAATAAGATACCTAATTACTACCTAATATCCAATAGATCACTTAATATATGTAGTATTTATAGATCCCAAGGCCTTCTCCAACCGAACTCCAAACATATAAATGGCGTCCCTCATGAGCTCCACGCGAACTACAAAAACTACTAGTATTTGATTGCGTGTGTACAGTGCGACGCCCACTATTTTTCTGTCTCTACCGGATTTGCCAAAGAAAAGCACAAAGGAGAAAGACGGCAACCTGGGCACAAAATAGAGTTCTATTGGAGTTGAATCATGTCATTTTTTAGTTTCACTGCATTTTGGAATAAAAAAATGTGATTTTTGGTTGGAGATGCCCTATGGAGATTTGTATGCCAGTACCAAAAACCCTTGATCTGGTAACGTTATGAAATAGTTGGCATTTACCATTCTGGTATTACCTGATTTGGTCCCTTCCCATATGGCCTCTCATTAGGTGCAAGTTCGTTGACTAAGCTTTGCTAGAAGGCCCATCTCCATATGTTTTTCTTTGTACTCTATAATGCTTTCTTTTTTTCTTGATGATTGATGCTTATTAAGGATTCGTTTGGGACAGCTTTCTTAATGCTTTCTAAAACAGTATTTTAGCTAAAAAAAATTTTGTTCTAAAAAACAGTTTTAGAAAGCAATGAAAAAGCTGTCCCAAACGAAGCCTAAATATCGAGGCCTTCCTTTCATATTCGGTCATCTATGTTCACTGTTACTTATCTCATCTGTTTTTTGTATTGCAGATTTGGAGTGTGGGAAGCAGCCAAATGGGTTGCAAGAGTCCGTGAGCTGACAAGATATGATCCATTACATCCAGTGGTGCTCAATCTTACGGCTGATCTTGTTGAGGACAGCAAATATTTGCAGATCAAAAAATTAGCAATGGAAACTGCCTTCCTCATCAGAATGGTAGCAGACACAAATTGATTCATATAACCCAGCTGCCCTAACACTTTGGAGTTTGGAGAAGTGTGAGTGAGTCTAAGTCGACTCGTGACCTGGCTCGGGCTCAACTCAATAATGGCCCGTGTGCTGAGCTTCAATGAGCTAATGAACCAAGTTTGGTCAGTCTTGACTCAACTCTATTAGCTCATGAGCCAGTTCATTTAAAAACATATTAGTATAAAATGCACTTAAAATATATTAGGATTTGTGATTTTAAGTATAATGTTGTGAACATGTGTAAAATTATATTTCACTTCTTTATATTAAGTGTTTTTTCATTATTTTTCTTATAATTTATTGTTCGTTTTATCATTTTATTATAATAATTGTTTAAATCATAATCATTTTCTACTTTCATAATATATGATGAGTATGCTCGTCAGCCGGCTCAAACTTGAACTCGATTAATTAATCAAGCCCAAGCTCAAGATCAGGGGTGACTCGAGAACGTCTCTCTCTCTCTCTCGCAGTCTTATTTGTGTGGGATATTTTACCCTCATGTATAAGACCCTCCTTGTTAACTTTGATGATCTGCTTTTCTTTTCCCTTTTATTATAATGGGAGCCAGTTGTTATGGCTTCAAATGCGATATTACAGATCAAAAGGGTCAAAAGAGAGATTAGGTTGGGAGTTTGTTCTCCAATGAGATCTAAAGGATTTATAGTGACGTGGGAATGGCAGCTTATTCTCCTTTTATTTTTATCATTTTTTAGTGTAAAGAACCTTATTCCTTGGATTACAGAAAATGAGGGATTTTTTTTATGAAAATTTGAGTTTATGTAGGAATCAATTTTAAATTATAAATGTTTATATTTTGAATATATAAGTAAGTATTATTCAAATTTAATAACAATAATATTAAGTCTTTATCCTACTACATGGGGTTGGTTACACGAATTTTTTTTCTTCTATTGTGTCTTGTTAAGGATTTGTTTGGGATAACTTTTTTACTATTTTTAAAACAGTTTTTTTTAGTACAAATTAGTACAAATAATTTTTAAATTTAAATTGTTTGTACTAAAAAATTATTTTAAAAAGTTGTAAGAAAGTTGTCTCACATGAGGCGCCTAAGAGTCGAATTTATATATAAATTTAAGAAAAAAAAGGGTAATTTCTAATACTTTATTATTAAATCTTTTTAGATCTACCTCTTCATTTCTTAAAATATGTTGGATTTAATACATCTATTTTTCTAATCGGATCATTGAAAGACCGACATTTTATGTGAACAAATCACGTAAAGTGACTCTCTATAATCTTATATGTCATTGAATCTACTCCAACTATTTCACGTATGTTATCATTATAATTTAAAGAAAAAGAAAATAAATTTGTAAAATATTTAGTGAGAAATATTATAATCAATGTAGGTTTGATGTCTGAATTGGGAACTTTAGCAATGGCTACCTCTTTTGACCAAAAGCTGTAGTTAATAAGAATATGTAATTGTAGAACTAGACAGCTAAGCTTCCATTTAAAAGATTTGTTAGCAAAAGAAATTGCCAATTTTAGTTCTATAGCTTATTATTGAAATAAAAAAGTTTTTTTTTTCTTTTACTGAAACTTTATTAACCTTTTGATTTAGATTTTAGGGTTAAAAAAATGCAATAAGATTTAAGCTAAACAGAGCATAAAAATGATTGTTGGGATCGAAATAGTACCCATTAGAGGTCACATATTGTGATTTCATTTGGAACAATTTTTTTTGTTGCTTTCTAAAGCAAATTTTTAGCAAAAAAATTTTAATTAAAAATATTTTTTTACTAAAAAATTGCTTCAAAAGCATTAAAAAAACTATTCCAAATGAAACCTTTTGACCGCTTGGCTCTTAAAAGGTTTGAAAGAAATCATTTCCTACCAATTCAGGTGTTATGTGATCTTGTTGAGTACAAATTAATGTGTATTTTATTATTTAATTTGATGCTAATTAACTTTATGTGATATTATTTCCCCCTATTACAAAATATATATATCATATCTTCTTCAGAAACCAACGACCATCACAACCTTTCTTTTTAATTACAGATGAGCTTTCAATCTACTGATAAAACTCAGAAATTTAGATCAACTGCTCCACCATTGTTTAAGCCATAGAATTATCAAAATATGAACTTCAAACACTTATTAACAAATGTGAAAATGAAAACAAGAAACAGAAAACTAACAAAAGAAAAGGTGTAAACAAAGCACACTAATGATAAAGAAGGCCTGCGCTTAAATGAACAAAATATCAATCTATGGTGAAATAGTTTGCTTCCTGCTTAGCTTCAGCCATACAAATAGCAATGATGGAAACAAAAAGGACTCCATTAGACTTCATTAGCAAACTCTTCATGAAACCAAAAAAAGATAACATAACCAGGAAATCTGACAAGAACAAATAAATTCTAAACAGGAACTCGAGTGATGATGCAAAGATACAAACCAAATTCTAGTTCAGAATCCAACTTGGTCTCTGCATCATCCAAGCAAACTTCTGCAACACTTAAGGGCCATGTTTCGGCATCACCGGAGGCCGAGATTGTCTGATATACTTTCTGTTTCTATGAGATCTCAGCAATGGCAGAAAAGCTATAACTTTCAACAAATACTGGATCAAGGAACCTAGCCAGAAAAGCCCACATCTTATAGACATCTACAAAATTTGTCTAGATTGCTTAACCACCTCATTAGTCCCCGCATATGTTATACAAAGTCTATCCCATATGTC